TTTTTTTTATAACTAGAAAAAGATTTATGAATTAAGAAATTTTATGTCATTATGGTAATGATATAAGACATATTAACTTAATAAAATTTTAAAAAATTTTGTGTAAATATAATAAATTAAGTATCTAAAATAATTTGAAAAAAAATTATTTAAAATTATTTTTAATAAGTAATTTTGAAAATATTTTTGTAAAAAGATATAAAAAATATAAATATAAGTTTAAAAAAATTCTTTATTACATATTTATTTAATAAATATTAGTTAAAAAAGACTTTTTTTAATAATTTTTATAAGAAATAATAAAATATAATAAATATAAATTTTTATTATAATTTATTATAAAATTTATTAAATAAATATAAAATAAAAGTTTTTTATACTTATAAAATATATTTTTATATCTTAAAATTTATTTTACAAAATTATTTTCAAAATTACTTAATAAATTTTTGTAAAAATTTATATTAAATATACTAAATTAGAATTAATTTTGAATAAAAAATATTTTAATAAGTTATTATATCTTATGCTATATGAAAATCTTATTTATAATATTTTAAAGAATAAATTTATAAATTTTTATAAGTTTTGAACAAAAATATTATATATTATTACTTTTATTAGAAATTATAAATTTTTTAAATATTTATAAAATTGATATTAAATTATTAAATTTAAATAAATAATTTATTAATTATAATATATTAATATATTTCTAGAATAAAATTTATAATAAATAATTTTTATATAAATTTTTATAAATTATTATTATATATTAAAGTTAATTTTAAATACTATTGTTATTTTATAAAAATATTATTTTTATAAATAATTGCTTTTAGTTATTAAAGATAAAAATCAAATATTTATTTTATATATTAAAAATCTTGATTTTTATTTTTTATTTATTAAAAGTTAATAATTTATACTTTTTAACAGAATTTAACAAGAAAATAACTTTGTAAAAATTTATAAAAATTAAAAATATCAAGAATTATGATAAAAATAATATAAAAAGTAATTAATACTCAATTATAAAGATATAGAATAGATTAGATATTTATTATATAAAAAATATGAGAAAGTTATTTGTAATTTTTATATATGAGAAATTTATTTGTAATTTTTATATATGAGAAATTTATTTGTAATTTTTATATATAATATATAAAAATTATATATAAAATATATTTATGATTTTTAAAATTATATATATAACTGTATTTGAAATTTATATAAATGAATAAGTAATTTTACGAGATATTTATGAAATATATAAGATATATATTTGTATTTTTCTACAAGTTATATAATTTTTATTTCTAAAACTTATATAAACTTATATAAAATTTTAATTTTGTATAATAATTTTTATTATATATAAAGTTAATTTATAATATATTACTAAGAAATAGCTTATCTCTTACATAACATTTCTAATATATTTTTTCTTTAATATTTTTTATTCTTTTTAAGAATAATAATATAAATTTTTTTATTAATAAATTAATTCATAGAAAATCTTATTATTATATTATATACTCAAAAAAGAAATAATATTAAAGATAAATATTAAATAATTAAAATATTATTGATTATATAAATTATATTTAAAATATATTATTTATAGTATTTATATTTGAAATATTGAATCAAACTTTTTATCAGATTTAAGTTTGGTTTGAAATTTGAGCTTAGATCTGAAAAATTGAACTGGACTTGAATCAGATTTTTTTAAATTCAAATTTAGTTCAGGTTTGAACTTGAATCTGATTTATGTTCAAATCAAATCATTTTAAGTATTTAAAGTTATTCTAGGCTATAATTTATATAAGATATTTTATAACAAAAAATTTAATGTCTTTTAAATTACTTATTTATATAAATATATTGTATTTATCATAATAAATTATTATTATTTAGATAAAAATATTTTAGTTCTGTCTAATAAATTCAAAATTTTGAGTAACAAATCTATTTTATACTCATATAAGCAAAACTGTAGTCCTTATTTAAAACTGTAATTTTTACTATTCACTTGAAAAGTTGATTTTTGAACTGAACTCAAACCAGATCCAATTTTGAGTTCAAATCTGGTTTGTACTTCAAATCTAAGATACAAGTTCAAGTTCGAATTTGAGTCTGGTTTGAGTTCGAGCTCGAACTGAACCAGACTTTTTTGAACACTATATTTATTTAAAGTTAGTTCATAAAATTGCTTATAAAATAGTTTGTAATTAATTTTCTAAATAGATTTTTAAAACTAATTTTTTGAATATAGATGCAAATTTAAAAATGATAGTATTGAATATGGAGCTTTTCACTTTAGGTGATCTTGCAATAAGTAACTATGTATTCTACAAATATATTATTAAGTTAACCTTTCTATAATGACATCAATTATCCTGACTAATTTGGTCATTTTATAGAAACCGTTATTATATAGAAGGTGATTTTTTCAGTAACATTGAATATTTCATTAAAAAAGGTGTAATTATTAATTATGCATGAACAAATATTGATTGCCATTTTTGCGTGCCACTCTAATAAGATCGATATCGATATATAAATATGAACTAGTATTAACAATATTTGATTTGATTTTTTGCATTTTATATTTCCTAAAATTAAATGTAGATTAATTTTGGCCGAAGGACGAGAAACAACATATGCAGCAATTGTGCATAGTACATGTACATGTATTTTTATGAGAAAATCTTCTGACATTTAGAGTGCCAAAAGTCATAATATATTTATGCGAAAGTAGACTTATAAAGTGACTTTGTTGTTTTTTGTATTGTGTACATGTACGTTGTCAATCGATTACATAACGTGTGAATTTCGTTCAATCCTCCTTTTACGCATTTTACACTCACGATGGATGTTAAAATGAACGAAATTAAGCAGAAAGAAAATGAACCAACCATTATTCTAAATGTCGGGGGTGTTAAAGTATAGCGATTGTTTTAACTTTGCAATATTTCATATACTGTACGTACGATTAATCAATTAGTTTACCACATACATGTAGTATGAGACTTTACGATCCACATTGACTGCCTACCCGGATACATTACTCGGCACGATGTTCGCCGAAAGAAATGAACATCTCCTAAAGCCGAAAAACGGGAACGAGTATTTTTTTGATCGTAACGGCCGTGTATTCCACTACATTATGGAATACTATCGTACAGGGATAATGAACTGGTCATATTCAAAAGAAAAAAAAAGTGACAACGACGACGTTACTCAACAAGAACTCGACACTGAGCTTGACTATTTCCAAATAAAAGTAGAAGCTCGACGAGCCGAAAATATTACACCGCAACTTGGCAAATTTCTTAATTTGTTTGCCTCTTATCTCGTGGAAAATTTAAGCAAACAAATGGAAATTATGGAGCCTGAGATTTGGTTTAAAGTTTCACCGGATACGGGGCCGAAATTTTGGACAAAAAATTCAGGGTGGATTGCATCGCCATTTACTTCAAATAAACCTTTAGCATTTTATTTAATGAAGAACTTTAAGGATGAGATTTATCAGCATTTAAAGTTAGTCTTTAAAGGGACAAGAATAGAAACGAAATCTCAGACTAATGATGTGGTAGAATTCGTATTTGCTCCATATTATAATCTTCCCGCAATTTTAAATTTAGCAAATTTAAAAGTCTGAATGAATAAGGTGAGCAAATTTGTTATCTCTTTAATAATGAGCTTATAATTGAGTCAATTATCTAATTTTTAATTTGTTTTTGATATTTAGCACGCATTCGGATGATGTAAATTTATACTTTTGACTCATTATTAACACTGAAAAACATCTGTTTATATGAACCTTACTAATAAACGGTTTACATATAAAACTGTATTGGTTATGATAATAATGAAGTCATAGTATCTGAATTCTATTCTGAAGTCCGTTCATGAGCTATTTCAGATTTGTTTTGTTAAAAAATTCTTTTCATATTTATAAGACAAGCAATTTCTGGTATCAATCTAATTATTTAGGAAATAAAAAGCGTATTCTGAAGAAATGTTTTAATTTTATATATTGTAATATACAGTGGTGTTCAAAAAAAATGACAATTAGTTTTTTGATTATAATGAATTGAATAATTATTTAAATAATATAAG